AGCTGTCCCCCTGGGTAGAGTGCCATTGCATCACAGCTCACAGCAACCTCCAACTCCTGGGCTCAAGCGAGTCTCCTGCCTCCACCTCCCAAGTAACTAGGACTACAGGTGCCTGCCACATCACCCGGCTATTTTTTGGTTGCAGTTGTCATCATTGTTTGGCAGGTCCAGACTGGATTTGAACCTGCCAGCTCAGATGTAGGTGGCTGGCGCCTTAGCCACTTGAGCCACAGGCACCAATCCTAGTTCTCGTTTTGATAGATTAGTTGCCACCTTTTATTTCAACCTCATTGTGCTTCAAAAATTCCAATCTATAAAGGTTTGATGTTTACTCACATTTTAGGTGGTACTCTGAACATTTATGAAGTATCTCACAACAGTTTCTACAAGGGCTGACTCTGCAACACTGGTATATCCTTGGGAGGATAAAAACCTGTCTGGTCCCTTTCTTTCACTTGCACAATAAAAGAGGCTGGATTTATTTATAAGGTCTTTTCTAGATCTGACATGCTAGACTAGGGCTGTGAAAATGAGAGTTGTTTAGAAATTATCAATTTCTGGGTGGCACCTGTGGCTCAAGGAGTAAGGTGCTGGCCCCATATGCCAGAGGTGGTGGGTTCAAACCCAGCCCTGGACCCCTCCCAAAAAAAAAGAAAAAAGAAATTATCAATTTTTAATTTTCCCTTCCCATCAGCACTATTCATAACAGAAGTGCAGTGAGTACACCTAAAGGGGAAGAAAAGTTCAAAATATCGTGTAAAGCTTGAGCTCTAATAAAACTAACACATGCTTAAAACAGTACTATATACTGATGCTTCTCAAACTTATTTGCACATTAAAATCTCCTGGGGATCTTTTAACTATTCTGATGCTCAGGCTGCACCCCAATTGGAGACTTGGGGGTTAGTCTCAGGTAATTTTTGAAACTTCCCAGGTGATACCAATATGAAGCCAAGCACGAGAGCCACTGTTATATAGAACTGTTTCAAACTCTGGGACAGAGTCTCACTCTTACTGTTTCAAACATTTAATATTGGTAGACTTTTTCAATTACTTGTACCGAATTGCCTTAATAAAGGAACTTATATCTCAAGAATGGAAGAAAAAGTATCCAATGTACACAGCCCTATTTTGAAACTAATTTATAGCTTTCATAATAATGTTCTAACTTAATTATAGCCTTAGAATATGGGAAGGAGGAGGGAGAGGGGAGGGGAGGAGGGTGGATGGGGGGAGGGAGGGTGATTGGTGGGGTCTCCTATATGGTTTATCCTACAAGTGTACAAGTGAATCTTTCTAAAAGCAGAGTATGAATGTCTTAACTCAGTAACTAAGAAAATGACATGAAGGCTACGTTAACCAGTTTGATGAGAGTATTTAAAAATGTGTATGAAAACACCACACCATACCCTGTGATTGCATTAATGTACATAGCTATGATTTAATAAAAAAATCTAAAAAAAGAAAGGAACTTATTACCTTTAAAATCTGTATTTTAATTGCAACAACAAAATACGTATTTTAATGTTACTTTCAAAACTTACATTGACTATCTCCACCTCTCTCAATCTCGTTTGTCATCTACCTGGTCCCCTTGCTTTCACTTTGCCTCTTGCATTAGTAGGATAGAGGTTAGAGGTCTGTTCAGAGACTCAAAATAATGATGGCTTAAACAAGATAGAAGTTTATTTTTTTCTCGTGCAACAGCCAAAAGAAACAAGCAGTACAGGGGTGGTGCCTGTGGCTCAAGGAGTAGGCACCGGCCCCTATACTGGGGGTGGCAGGTTCAAGCCCGGCCCCCAGCCAAAACTGCAAAACAACAAAAAAAAGTAAGCAGTACAAAGTTGGTATAGTAGCTCCATGATGACAAGGACCTAAGTTCCTACCAGCTGGTTGCTCTGCCATTTGTAGGGTGTTGCTTTTCCCTGAATGATCCAAGATGTCTCACTACCATGCTCACACTATGGCCAGCAGAATGGGGGTGGGAGGGAAAAAGAGTATTTGCTCTTAACCTTGAAGGGAATAGTTCAGAAATTCACTTACACTCACTCACATTGGTCAGAACTTTGTACAAAGCTATACCTAGGCTGCAATGTGCTCAGCTAAAAATTGGGAGATCTATTACCATAGATGAAGAGAACAGGTGTTAGGGTTCAACTAGTACACTCTGCCAACCAACTTCCCTGTAATCCATTTTCCTTCCAGCAGACAGTGATCATTCAAAACATGATACAGGCCACAAACCATTCAATGGCTTCCCAGTGCTTTAAAGATACAAACTGGAAGTCTTTACCATAGTGTATAAGACTCTGTAGTGTATAGTTTTGCAAGAATCCTTGTCTATTTACCTGTCTCAACTTGTATACTACTTTTTTTTTTTTTTTGTGGTTTTTGGCTGGGGCTGGCTTTAAACCCACCACTTCCAGCATATGGGACCAGAGTCTTTCTCCTTTGAGCCACAGGCGCCACCGTTGTATACCACTTTCCACACTCCAGCTTATCAGTCCTTATTTAATTCTTCAAACGAACTTTCTACTGCAAGTCCTGTATACGTCAAGGTCACTTCCTCAGGAAAAACTTTTCTAGTGCTCTCTTCATTAAAAAGCTGTAATATGTACCATATACCTTTCCTTTATCACATTTATCTCACTTATTTGTGCAATTATTTGAATGTCTTTCTCCTCCACAACATTTTTAAGGTCTGTGAGGGTAGGGGCCATGTCTGTTTTTGCTTGTATTGTATTATTTTCTTAGTGCTAACCCATTGCTTGGCACAGAGTGGACACTCCAATATTTGGATACATGCTACAATAATTTGGCTCATTATTTTATGAGCCTCATGGTCTAGAGTTTATCTCAAAGTGGCCTAATATACTGATTGAAATTTTATTATTATTCAACCTTTTATTTTGTGCCCAAATCAGAGTTTAGAGAAACAGACTTTGGCATGTAAGTGAGACCTTATAATTTACTTATTTTGGCTATTTTATATTGTCATTTTGTCTTCTTTTCTTTCAGTTCTCCAAATACAAAATAGCTATGAAAATCCTGTTGGAAACTTCTAGACTTTTTTTTTTTTTTTTGAGACAGAGCCTCAAGCTGTCCCCCTGGGAAGATTGCCGTGCCATCACAGCTCACAGCAACCTCCAACTCCTGGGTTCAAGCAAGTCTCCTGCCTCAGCCTCCCAAATAGCTGGGACCACAGGTACCCGCTACAACGCCCGGCTATTTTTTGATTGCAGCCATCATCACTGTTTGGCAGGCCCAGGCTGGATTCAAACCCACCAGCTCAGGCGTATGTGGCTTGCACCTTAGCCACTTGAGCCACAGGCGCTGAGCCGAAACTTCTAGACCTTAAGCTACTAGAAGTCAGGCACAATAACCTAAGAATAGCGTCAGAGGTAATTCTTCAAAAATGTTGCTTGATTTTCAGTGAAAATGTGTAGATGATTTCAAAAACAGATAATATATTTCACATTTGTTTTGACAACCATCTTCAGACCCATATGGAAGAATAATCTTGGCTCATTTAGCAAGTGCATATGTAGGCCAAAAATAGAGAGGAAACCCATCAAATACATGCAAAATGAGACTGAAGACCAAAAAACTTATTGCATTTTAACTTTAATAACACACCCAATGCTGTAACACGACAAGAATCCATTGTTTTAATTAATATTTAATACAATTATAAAGAATAAAAGATAACGTGTTCATGAACAAACTGCAATTTGTCTTTAGGTTTGCAGACTGCCAACACATTTAAAACGTAGATAGCAAATGAAGTCACACAGCTATATGGCTACAAGAAAATCTCACAAGTTAATAGCTTAAGTAGAATCAAATTGAATTCGTCTGATGGTCATTTTAGTCCATCTAACAAATTATATAGAAGTCAACCACAGGGCCTCACATGTGCAGAGTGGCCATTTACATTTAAAATGAAGTCTTCTAGACAACCAAATTAAAATCAATGCCATTACTTAATGTTTTCCACTTTCAGTATGAGCACATTAAATGTTAGTATGCGATAAAATTTCACTATTTAAACTCACATTACATATACTGAAACTATGAATGGATACCGCAGCCTCTGGCTTTAACATCTCAACACACGGGTAAAAATACTGAGATATTCAAAACATACAAAGTCACAATATGGGGTGGAAAGAACTTAAGACAATTTAATTCAGCACGTTCATTTTATAACCGACAAAACAAAAGAACAGGGGCAACTGGACCATGACAATTCAGTTAGAAATCTAGAAAGAAATGCAGGTTGACCACACTAGGAGAATTTAATCTTCAAATTGGCAATTCAAAATTTTCCAATATATGTGAATAAAACTGGAAAGATGTTATATCTCCAAGAAAAGTTACTCTTGTAAGTTAGGATGCCTTATACTGAGGTTTTAGAATAAAAGTACACTTCACAAAGGGAACAGTGAACATAAAGAGTTACAAGTCAAGATAATAGCCATATAGAGTAAGGAAAATTGCCTGATACACAGAAATTATTCAGATGACTTTTTTTCAACAGTGAATCTAAAATGAAGTGTGTTAGCTCCAAATACAAGATGAACATAAAACCACATCACTTCAGAGCTCATGTAATATTTTTGCTAAAAGCAGTTACTGAAATTACCAAGAAAATGAAACAATATATTTAAAGCAGAGCTCTCTTTATAATCTGTAATAATTTCATTTTCTAATTTTTAATAAGTATTCTCAGGCCTATAAATTTTATGCAAACACACTTCCATTTTATTGTTACCCAAATTGCAGATATCCAAGATACCGATGATATGTACTTTATCCAGTTCAGCTGCTGCTTTTATAATATCACCTAAAAGTAAAAGGCAGATGGTAAGTACTGTAAAATAGTTAAATATTTACTTGGCTTTAGTATCACATAAGCTGAAGATTTTTTTTCTGACAATATTAACACTGTTTCTCATCTTCTCCCTCTTCCCTCCAATTTATCACATGTATTTGCTAAAATTAGGATATGGTAACTTCTGCAGATAAAGGTGAACACATCAAAAACAGATAATCCAACAATATCAAGATGTAGACTGGTACTCCAAAGTCATATGTAGCTTTCTTGTATTCTTTTGTTTTGTGTTTGGTGGAGAAAAGTAAATCTCTGTATCTTCAAGGTCACTGATAAGTTCCAAAGAAACAGTTTATTGTTACACTTCAAATAAATACAAAGACAAGTTTTATTTTGAAGTTCAATTATCAATTTTTTAAAAAAAATCTACATGTTAGAGAGCCAAAAAAGTGTATATTTACCTTATATATTTGTATCATATATGTGTTTATGTGTGTGTTTGTAATTAAAGCTTCTTTTGACGTGTATTTCCTTTGAAGCAGCTTTAATAAAGTAAAATTTAACTTTGGATACCTTCAAGAAACTCTAACAAAAATGGATCAGGTGCGGGAAATCAATGAAAATGGCAGAGTAGGAAACTCTAGAGCTCTGTCCCTCTGCAAACCATCTTATAAGCTAGAAAAAACTTTCATAATCAACTTTTGCATAACTCTGGAATCTAGACCAAAACTTAGAGCAACCAGGGAAAAATTAATAAAGAAGAAAACTGCTGCACTTTGGGAAGAGCGTGTACTGTGGTGTTTTATGTTGCCGACCTACTAGCTTGTTGCTAGTACCAAAGGCAGCAATGCAGATATTATTTTCAAAGATGTGGTTGTGTTTTTGTTTTTTTACGAGATGGGGTCTCCTGTGTTGTCTAGGCTGGAGTGCAGTGGCAGAATATTAAACACTGCAGTCTTGAACTCCTGGGCTCCACAGACCCTCCTCAGCCTCCTCAGTACCTGTGTTGACAGGCATGCGCCACCACGAACAGGTACTTTTTTCTTATATTTTCATATTTATTTATTTATTGCAGTTTTTGGCCAGGGCCAGGCTTGAACCCACCACCTCTGGTACGTGGGGCTGGCGCCCTACTCCTTGAGCCACAGGCACCACCCCTTATATTTTTAGAGACAAAGGCTCACTATGTTGTCCAGGCAGATCTCAAACTCCTGGCCTCATGTGATCTCCCACCTCATCCTCCCAAACTGCTGTGATTACAGGCATAAGCCATTGCACTCAGCTAAAATATGTGGCTGTGTGTTCTGATGTATCCAGCAGTTCTCTCAAGGACAGACGAAAGAGCCAGCTTTTGTTTTACCCAGTTTGGAGCATTTCTACAATTGGGGTGGCTTTTCTGGTGGCAAATTTGTTGAAAGCATATAAAAGCAAAAGTATTAGGCAGGACAGCTGGGTAGGCGATAAAGCT